CGTTCGTGACGCGGGAGATTGCTGGCTGGTGTATGAACTGTACTATTGTATGTGCTGATGTATACATTTTTTTTTTGAAGTTCATTACCGTTCTTATTTCTGAAGAATTCTGTCTTTGGTGTTGGGGGTGGACAAAGAATCTAATCCCAAGCTACTCCAAAAAGCCTGAGGACTCAGGACCCCCCAAAGAGGCGAGCCCGATGGACTGCTGCAGGTCTCGCCGGTCCCTCACGCGTCGGCACGTGCTACAGTACGTTTTGTGTCTGAAAGTTGCTCCCCAATGCACTGCACTCTGTCATGCCAACGAAAGGTTGGGGAAAAGGTGTTACAGCGCAAAGAGGAACAAATCGGTAGGACTGTAGTTTCGAGCGGATTGGGTTTGGGTGGGTGAAGGATGCGGGCAACTGGTGAACGCAAGCACGATACACAACTTTGTGCTTGGAGTGCCGCCTAAGAATGGGGCATCTGCTACCGAAGTACAGGTGAAAACAACACGCTAGTAGAGGAAGTGTGATGACCACTTCGAGACGATCTTCCCCTGATAAAAGTGATAACACCTAATAATTTTCACTAGTTCAAGTTGTAGCACGTACTTTTGAAGTGGAGGTGCATGGTTAGTACGATGCACCCCACCTTTTCCCGACTCGCCCAGCGTTCTTTCTCGTCGAGATTGTGCGCATTACGTTGGAGGGGGAGGGCTCGCGGAGTATTTTTCATCTCATCTGTGCGACTTGCCCACGACCAAAATGCCTTCAGCAAGCAGACATGATCATGTAGGGAGTAGGTGCTGTAATGTTTATCTGCCGTTTTCTGGTTATTCATGTAGAGTGAACATGGCAACCTTCGTGTCTTGGTTGTTGCAGCGGGCAGGGGCACCTGCTGGCGAACGACTTGAGGAAGGCAACCGCGGACCTGAGGAGGAGCGTGGAGCTTTGCCCGACGATGCCGATCTCGCGGGCGGCGTGGGGGGTGGCCTTGTTCAAGCTGGCTACGGCGGCCGAACTGGTGAATGAACGTTTAGCGGCGACTGCGTAACGATAAACAGGTTCAGACGGAAAATTGGCAGACGAGCACGATGTTTCGTTCGGCAGAACAAAATTTACATCTTACCGCAAGCTACTGATAGCAGTAACAAGGCCAACAAACCCCTCCGCACGGAAAGCCGAAAGCCTCTCTCTCTCTCTCTATAAACGTTTTTAGGTATCAAAAGATATTTTGTAGAATGTGTGTATTTTCAGGTTCTGCAGAGATGCAGCGATGCCCCCCACTCTCTGCCGCTGCTTCCCACGTGCGGGCAAAGTGGCATCGCTTTTTTTCAAAACTTGTCTCGACAACGACCATTTTGTTTTTGTTTCCATCTCAATATTTGGTTGTGTCTGTTGCCGTTTTTTTTTTCGTTGTTTGCGCTCGAATAAGCCATCTCCGTCATCCCTGTCGAAGTGCGTGCAAGTACTGGAAGAAGCCCGGGAGCTTTTCCCGGAGAACCCGGAGGTGCTCTTCTTCTTTGCGGAGGTGCGCTACCGTATGTGTGACCTCTTGTTGTTGTTGGCCTTGTAAAATACTGAAGATTGTGCTAAACATACATAGTGATGGCAACACCCTGCCCCTTTGGTCGATGGCCTTAGCGTCTAAGGCTCGCGAAAACATGAGTACGCCTCCTACCCCAGGCGGACTTTAACAGCTTGATTACTCTACGACGAAGGGGGCACTAACGCTACCGCCGAAAAGGGTGGTCTTGGAACGGTCTCGTCGACAGCTTCCCTTACACGCATGGGCCGTTTTTTTTCGCCCTCCTGGTTGTGGAACAATCGAGCAGCGGAGGCCAGGGGCGGGGGATGTTTTCATGTAAACTGGTGCCGTAGTCGGTAGGCCATATATTCCTCGCATGTTTCACTACGGGGGGGGGGATGCGATACAATACCCCTTGGAATACGGTTAAGTCGCCGCATTTATGTTCCCAACCAGCCTGCCTCTCTCTCCAACCAACGATGGCTGGCTGAGGGCGGCATCAGGCACGGCAAAAGCTGAAAGTGGCTCACGCAAGCCTGATTTTACGCGCAATGGTTGAAGATCGATATCAAAGCCTGTTGGTTCTCTAAGTTCTCCCTTGTGCGCACATCCCAAATCAAAAAGTTGTTTCTTTATCACAGAATACCGGTAAGCAACGTGTGACCTTGAAGCTGCAAAGCCATGCGGCTCATGTCTTTGTCGGCGGGAATCTGGCGAAAGCTCCCATCCCCGCCATACTACAATAACATTCCCGAAAGAGAGAGTATATTCAGAATATCGTGCGCTGCAAGCCACGGCCTTGAGAAAGGACCCTGGGGGATGGCGGCTCCGTGATGTCGCACAGAGAAGGTTGGGTGCCGTAGAAAAAAAGCGGCCAGCTTAGCCCTGCGTCCGGACCTTGTCGGCATGTGCTTCGCCAATCTGCGCCAAGTGGGTCACCACCCACACTTGGTATTTTGTATTTTCGTCTCACCCTATACGAACGCGACCGGTCGCTCAATGCGCAGGCTGTGTCGGCACTGCTAAACGCCCATTTCAGGGGGGGGGGGGGGNTATCCCCAATTACCGCGATCGTTTTTTCGCTGTTGTCTAATTTACCAAACTTGTCCATGTCACACCCTCTCTGTCTCATGTCTTCCTCGAGATCCTCTCTTTCCTTCCTATACAGCTCACACTCCCCAACTATGTGGGGTCTACTCTCCTCCGATTTGCCACATGGACATGCCTGTCAATCCTCTCTTCCTCTCTCCTACGGCTGCTGTACCTCTTCCTCCGTTCTGGCAAGTCCAGATCGCCTACTCGAAATTGCAACTTCACTTCGAAATCTCTACTCCCAGGTTCGTATACCTGTCTACTACCGGTAGTTCTTCCTCCCCCCATTTCTATTTGAATTCTACGGACCACTACTGCGCATTTTCCTACGTTCGCCGACAGTCTCCATTTTCGGGTGTATCCTACTGCCGCATCTATTTGTTCCTCCAACCCTTCTGGTGTTTCGGATACCCCCACGAAATCATCTGCAAACATCAGTCCGGACACACTCTTTCCCCCTACTTGGACTCCCTGTCTTACTGCTTCAACCGCCCTTATCAAGTCGTTGATGTAAATCTTGAAAGAGTGGGTGACATCGTACAGCCCTGCGCGACTCCTTGGAGTATATCCACGTACTTCGAGATTTTCCCAT